TTCTAGCTTGTCACTGTAGTCTGATCAGCTGGGATTCATAGCTGGGGAAAAGCAATAAATGATTTGCCAAGAGGAAGACAACATTTTTTAAACTGACTAGCTCTTTCTATCATAGTTATTAACATGCCATATATTATAAACTGAGAACATCTACATTTATGGGAAAATCTACTAGTAGAAAAGGAACCTTTCAGGGAAACTGATTAAAAGGAAACAAAATCTTTGATCCTATTTAGTGGAACAAAATTAGAAAATCGGAACCATCTAAATTCCTCAGAAGAACACGGTATTAAAGGAAGAGGGTTTTTTTAAACAAAGCAACCAACCAACCGCCTTATAAGAACAGGTTTTCAGAACTCTGTTATGTCAACTGCAACCATTGTAAAGAATTTATGAGGCCGGCATAACATCAGCTAACATGGACTGCATAATAAAAGAGCTGCAAGAGACTTCAAAAAAGACTAACAAGCATCTACTAGAACAGAAGCTGTGACATAGCTTGAATGGTATTCATGATTCTTGCATTCATTTCCCATGAGGGATTTTTTTTGTTTGCAAGAACCTTTGAGAAAGCAAAATGCCAATGTGTCTCAATGCCAGAAGTGCTCATGGGGCTACCTGGAAATCCCTCCTTCTCTTTATAGACGTTTGAGTCAAGGAGCAGAAACAAAACCATCTGACTCAGGTGGCCAATCACACACCAAGAGTAAACCTCAGCCAATAGTAAAAGATGCAGTGCAAGCAAATGGGCTGAAGTAATTTCACAGAAAGGGTTTGAACAATTCTGTAACATTGGACAAGCGTCTAAAGATTCAAAACTGTTCATGGATGAGTCACAAAGAAGAAAAAAAGGAGGGAGGATAGATATATTCGCTGAATAAGCTTTTCATGATGGAGAGTTTGCCCAGCTCTAATAGCAGCTATGTATCCAGAAATGTCATGCTGAACCTAACATGGAATCATATTTTGGCACTAAAGAAATTAGGGCTCCGATGTTCAGAACCAGAGACCAGATTGTTTCTTATGGATGAGCGGGCCTAGGTGGGTGAAAGCACCCTTCTACCTTTGTACCCCTGCACAGCAACAGGACACAGTCACAGTCCAGGGCAACGCAAGGACTGCATTTTCTGAGAGCCCCTGGGCTTAGGGTTGCCAGGCATCTGGTTTTCGACTGGAACACTGGGTCGAAAAGGGATCCGGTTGGCTCTAGTCAGCACCCCCAACCAGGCTGTTAAAAGTCCGGTCAGTGGCGCAGCGGGGGTCCGGGGCTAAGGCAAGGTCCCTGACTGCTCTGGCTCCGCGCAGCTCCTGGAAGCAGTCACCTGGTCCCTGTGGCCCCTACGCGCATGGGCAGCCAGGGAGGCTACATGCGCTGCCCCTGCCTGAGTGCCATCTCTGCAGCTCCCATTGGCCGGGAACCATGACCAATGGGAGCTCCTGGGTGGCGCCTGTGGGCATGAGGGCAGCGCGCAGAGCGTCCGTAGCCAGTGGCCACCCATGTGAGTAGGGGCCACAGGGACCTGGCTGCCACTTCCTGGGAGCTGTGGTAAGTGCTGCTGGAACCCTGCACCCCTGCCTGCACCCCAACCCTCTGCCCCAGCACGGAGTCCCCTCCCACACCCAAACTCCCTACCAGAGCCCACATACCACACCCCCCCACACCAATCCCCCTGCCCCAGCTTTGAACCCCTTCCTGCACCCCAAACTCCTCATCCCTGGACCTACCACAGAACCCACACCCCCAGTCGGAGCCCTCACCCCCACACACACACCCGAACCCCTGCCCCCACCCGGTGACAGTGAGTGAGGGTGGGGAAGAGCGAGCGATGGAGGGAGGGGGGATGGAGCGAGTGGGGGAAGGGGACTCAGAGAAGGGGCAGGGTAGGTGTGGAAAAGGGCTGTTCGGTTTTGTGCGGTTAGAAAGTTGGCAACCCTACGTGGGGTGCAAGACACCCCTGTGCACCAGGCAAAGTATGCTGCACCTCCTGAAATGTTGTGGTAGCTGGCACACTCCCACTGTGCGTCCCACAGCCCTCTGGGGTTGTTGGCTCTGCACTGCATGTATTACTCAGCTAGTCCCTAATTCAGCAAGGTACTTAAGCGTGTGCCTAACTTTAAGGACATTGATTTATGTGCTTAAGTAACTTGTTAAATAATGGCCCTAATTTGTGCATTACATAACCACATATGCAATGCACAGGTGACTGACCAGTGTGTGCAGGCACTGGGATCGTGCACACACAATCACAATAACTGCACAGGCATATTACCTGTGCAAATGCGCTCACGTGCAGAGAGGTTTGAGGGCTGGGGGAACAGGCCAGGTGAACACACTGCTATGTGGATCCACTGGCTATAGATCTCTGCGGACATCTGGTACAGATGTGGGGGCTAGTGCAGCATCAGGGCTCCATAGCCTGTAGGGGAGGCTTCCTACCAGCCCGTGTAGAACCCCCACCAGTGCCAAGCCGGCGAGGGAGCGGATTTAGCCACAAGCAAACGTTAACGGTTGCTACGATTAACGGTGCAGTTTAAAATTCCTTTGCCTCATCGATTGCTTCAGAGTAAAAGCCGCAGCCACAAAAGTCACTAGCTGCTGAATAATCCAGATGTCTAGATACAAGGTCCCTTCTGAGACATAATGGATCATTTAAACACTGCACAAGACGATATCACTTCTTCATATCCTTCCACACATCCGCCTTGGGAGAAACTTACTCCTAATGATATTTTTGAAATCGCTCCTGAATCTGACATAGGTGAGGTGGAATAAGACCTCCCCATGAAAGGAAGGTTTCAGAGTAGCAGCCGTGTTCGTCTGTATCCGCAAAAAGAACAGG